GAGAAGAAAAGGAAGACAGCTGTCTGCTGAGACCGAGATTGAAAAGAAGAGAGGAGAAGGTCAACCCAAACACATAAGAGTTGGTGGTCAATTTAAGACAGGAAGAAGATAGAAAAGTCAGTCAGAGATGAGTACTGAAGGGAAAGAAGAGAGTGAGAGATTTGGATAGAGGTACTGGCAACCAAATAAAATAGAGGGGCTGAATACCATTTTCTCACAAATATCTTTTGTTATGTTATCATGGTATCTTTAAATTTGTGAAATCTCAAACCATCAATTCACAGAGGTGACAGTTAAATAGTTTTGCCTTCACACAATCTCAACTTACGTGCATAAAACGTGTTATGGAGCAAAACCTTTTTGAAGTCCTGGTGTGAATGTTTGTCCACGAGCTCAGTGCATGAGTTGGATTTTCTGTCATTGACATTTAACATGCTGACAACTTTCATCACTCAAATATGTTGACCAGGAAACTGCTTTTTTGTACACTTGTTATTCCTTTACTGAATATACTGTATACGCCCTTATGAAGAATTATTGGCTCTGCTGTTCCAGAAGACATTGCTTATTGCTTTAAAATTAGTCACTAAGTCATGTCTTTCCAAAAGCAGTGTTGACAAGCAGACATTTGAAGAAATAAATATTTGGAATGCTTTGTCTTATCTTTATCTTTCTGAAAGCACCTTTTCATCTCTTCCTCCTCATTGAAACAAGCTGAGCTGGATTGTTCAGTCACAAGAGTTTTTGCCAGCATGTACAACATCATGAGACATGAATTTATGTCAAATGAAATGTACAGTTTATAAAGATTTATAAAAGACTGAATCTACATTGCATTCTAGCCTGATCTTTTAAGAGACAGGATGAGGATTATGGTCATCAGCCAAAGGTATCTCCCCTTACGTGCAACGAAGAGTGACCTGAAGCAACAATAATTGTCTTACTTTCCAGATATGCATATGCCACTCTTGGGGTAATGTTTCCTTAAAATCAATTGCTTGTTGCCACTGTGTGTGAATTATTTTATTTGGTATTTAAACCGCAAGCCTCCACTGTCTTATTCATCACACACTCTACCAAGCCTTGGATGGGGCAGATAAGTCACACCTCACCCCCATGAATGAAGAGATTTACAAACTAATCTTTGCTGCGCTGGAGGGCAGATTCCCTCAGTGGGAGGCAGGGAGACAGGCAGTGGTGGAGACTTCGACATGATAACCCGTCACTGAAAGAAAAACTCCCTCCCCCTCGTCTTTCCTCTGCCGGTTCCCGGTTTCATCTGTTTACCTGGAATCCAGTCCTCGTTCGTCAGTCAGTC